TGACATGATAAGCTTTTGATGAGTCATCGAACCAAGTAACTCCATGTGGAACCAGCAGTGCGGCCGCACTTTCTGTTGCCTTCCATTGCCGTCCCACGTTCTTGTCACTCATTGATTAGAAAGGCTTGATGAAGGAATGAGCAAAAAGTTCCTGCAAGCCAGAGGACCACGGGGCAGAACATGGCAGAACAGAACCAAGATGAACCAAGTGAGAAGAAACGTCATGTCCCAACATCCCCAGCTGCAGATACTTCTTGAATTTGGTCCTCGTGGACGAGGAGGACCGGCGGTACTTCAAGCAACAGGAGGCCACGTGGTTGGGACCGTGACTAGGGGAGACGCTTGGGACGTGGTTCGAGACGAATAGCCGAATAGCCCCTCAGTGGGCAGATCGTTCAGGGCTCCTGGCTTTACAAGAGATGTTTGCAATTCTGACAAGGTACCAAACAGTTCATTCAGGTGTCCTCAGTTGTCATGTGTATTTGCTTTTTGTGGTTTGTTTCCTTTAGCAGCACATCTGATCTGTTGGTCTTTCATACTTTCATGGTCACATGGTTTTGGGGATCATCCAAGTCACCGGACTTCCGGTTCCTGGACGGTTTAGGCCGGACCACTCCCACCGTCGGCGTTCCTACACGCCACGCCGCGGTCTGCGTTGATGGGACGCCACGCGGTTCTCGGACTCGGCGCGGGACGACGGGACGACGGGACGGCAGGTCTTTCTGTGGCGGAAGAAGATCGGCTGAGTGGCGGCGGGTTACCGCGCTGGGCCGCTGGAGACGTCCCTCGACGACGAAAAATACAAGCTCCAAAACTGCCAGTTGTGATGCGGGACTGTGGTGGTCCAAGGGTTGCCTTCTGGTGGTTAGAAAGCATCCTTGTAGATCATATGCAGGACCATGGACGAAGGGGATTCTAATCGTATGCGCCTTAGTCGTGCCGGTTCGATCGTGCTCGATCGCTGCGTGTTTCGAAGAAGTTCCTTCAGTGCTATTTGCTAGTTTTAAAAATTGATCACTAACACTCAAACACCTTTATAAAATGACGCCTATCTTTTTGGCCTCTCAAAAGCTAAACGCCGTTTTGGTACAAAAGGCCAGTTCAGCCGATATCGTGGGCCTTTTGGCATTGCTATATAGCCTATCAAAAGAAGCACGTCCCCTAAAAGCATCCCGGGCCCTTTTGCGGACACGTGTGGGCGTCTTCGACGTGTCTCTCACGGGTCGACTTGGTTCGACCCGGCGCGGACGGTTAGTGGACCCCTTGGGCTTCGACGAAAAACAGTGACAGGATAGGGAAGGAGATCTTAAGAAATCTGTGACGAAAACCATTGATATCCATTAAAGGGTGGTGTTTGCTTCCAAATCAGGTGAAGCTCAATCTTTTAATGGGTTTTGGGTCAGGAGTCAGGTTGAAGAAGACATTGACTCCGCTTGTTCTCTCCTCAGTGGGTGGAAACCCTCGTCGTGGAGGAAACGGCTCATCTGGGGGAGAGAGAGGTTTTGGGACCCGATGTTTGAAGAGAATCAAACAATTCCCAGACACTAAATTGCTTATTGTTCGGGAATGCTCCATTTGGTCCTAAATGTTCGGGATGGTTTAAACCATTCCCAGACACTCACTCCATGGGACTGCCATAGGACTGCCGATCAATTGGGGTGTTGGTGCCAGGGGGGTTCAATGGGGCGGGGTATATGGCAGTCCCATTAGTCGTGTCTGGGAATTCTTTGCCATTAGCATCATTTGATATCTGTCCCAGTATACCTGAAGAGCCATCGTTTCACGACATCACGTCGTTTTAGAGATGGAAAGACATGCAACTGAACCATCATCATCCACTGGGCCTTGGCAATGATAGACCACGATAGACTCAGCTTGCATGCGTCCGACTCAGCATTTGGTGGGTTTGGACCACTGAAGACACCGGTACGGTGTGGAAAACCGGTGTTGGACCGAATCCGAAGGGGCTGGACGCCGATCATGACGGGGGAAAGGACGTCCGGACCCGAAGCTACACGATGAAACCAGGGCCCGGATGTGTTTGTTGAGGGCTCAGATTTTTTAGTGTTCATTGTCTCTGTCTTACACGATGAAACCAGCGTTTTTTTTTCATGAAAAACATAGAAGTTCAGCGATACCGGACTTCGGAAGCCCAGGGATGAGCAAGTGCAGCCTCTTCTGGCGAGTAGACCGAAGTGTCCAAAGGGAGTTCTCTTCTTTTGATCGACTTTCACCTCCTGAGTTGAACCTTTAGCCGTTTGGGCGACGATACTTGCGATGATGTCATCAAAATAGCTTGTCAGGTGACGTGCATCTTTGTTGTGTGTGTTGCTATTCTTGGCACCTACTCCGAAACTTGAATGAGTTATGTGTGTGTGTCATGCATTGTCACGTCTGGATCTACTTCCGTATCTGCTGATTCTGGAGCAGCAGACCTTTTGAACGATTGAGCCAACTTCCCACCATTTGAAGCTATTTCATAAGTTTTCCACGATCCATGAATGTAGGGGGAGCTGATAGATAAAAGCTTGGGGAACTGACATTTGCTCATCATTTCAGGCTTAGAACAACCATGAAACTTGCACTCGGCCCGCCCCAAAACAGTGCCCCCCCCGCCCGTACTAAGCGAGCTTTGTTGGAACGAAGTAACGAGTGCGCAAGCACTGCCAAGATGGTCCCTGTCACTCGCTGATGCAGCACTCACTTGCGCCCAAAAATACGTGAAGTCATCACCGCGTGTTGCAGCTTATGCGGAGCTCAGAGACCAGCAGGGTTGGGCATGCAGAAACCCATGGTGCTCAAAGTCAGCTTGGAAACCTTGCGTTTGGGTGTTCAGATCACGAATCACGAACAAAACTTTAGTTTTCTGCTTTCTGGCAGCCTGGTTCTATCTTGAACACCCTGGGTTTGAGTGTGGACCCTATGAATTTGTAGTAGGTATGATCGGATGTGGCAGAACAGGATAGATCTACCACACTATTATACCTTCCAGTACAATTGTTGGCGGTTTGAATAGCAGATGATTGCAGATGCTTACTGCGTGCATTGCTACCTTATGCTACCTTCATCTACCTTCTATTCAGGATATGCAGTGAACTTCTTAAGGGACATACGAGGATGTACCAAGGATTCTGTGGGATGTGATTGTGTATAGGGTACCTCTATACAGTTTTGGTCATTAAATGTGTCGTGTCCTCCCGGTGTGTCACAATGTATGAAGTAATATGATATGTATATATATATATAAGTCCAGTCCTTTTTGTTTGGCATACGCTTTTTTTTGGCAGTGGATTCATGATAGTGGTACCAACCGCGGTTCTTAGATTGGCTATACCATGGTATACCAGTATCGACCAGTATAGCCAATCAGCTGCAAATGCTGATGCTTGTTGGTCAAGGTTTCAATTTTCTAACAAAATTGTGTATGGCGGAAGTTATTCTCCAACAAGATTGATGAAATAGGAAGCACGATACCAAGAAGCTCACGCAAACTGGTTGTGCCAGTTTGCACACAACCCTCAGAAGACTGGCCATCAGTTGGTTGGGCATCGCTTGCGAGTCGTCGAAAAGCATGTCTAGCTGGGAGGAAGCACGTGCGAGGGGCAGCAGCTTCGTTGCTGGACATTATTCCAAAGAAGTGAGGCGCCCTACAAGTCCTGACTCAGTAATACCTGGCTTTTTACCTTCTTGAGTATAGTGCTAGCTGCTTTTGTATGACCGACTCCGGCAAAATGAGGTCATTGACCTGTATTTGTTCATGGTTAGCTGCCTTTCCCGGAAACACACAGAATTGTATAATAGTCACGGGTGCAGCCGGTCGTCAGTGGTTTGCATAATTGGAAGTCCCCTGTTTTACATGGATGTACCCTTTGCCTGCTGCCAACAGACAAAACATGACAAAACTGACTTCTGCCTTACGAATCGATCCTTCGAAAAATGGCTTAAACCCCTGACCATACATGGGGCTGGCATAGGATGCCCACCTTCACCCCTTTTCAACGCCAGTCCGTCGTGCTTGGCCACTTCGAAATAGCAAGTGGATCCAGTCCTTTCCAGGCAAACCACCGTACCTATACCATCCTATACCTGGATCCAGGCAAACCACTATACCTGTGGTTTCCTGGCCATGACTGACCAAACCATCGACCGACCGTTTCGGGTTGAGCCACCCTGGTTCCGTTTCTGTTTTTCTTGCTCCACTGAAATCCGGTACTCGATCCACTCCTGGAGCCCCCAGTCCCAACCAGAAACAAATGGATGTTCCAAGTTCTGGCTTGCTTCGAAAATCCTTTACATAGCAGGAAATGGCTGGGACTGGGGAAACATCCAGAACGGTTTCTGGTTGGGTGCCACCAACCCGATGGTCCTTGCCACACCGGGCGAGTTGACACGGCTTCGTTGTCTCCACGTGTCTCGTATCCGAAGGACGACGGCGGAGGTCCCAACACCACCTCGGTGGACCGGTCAAGGGCATCGCTACGTTCGTAACACGTGCCTTACTAGTAACAAGGACGCTAGTAGAACCAATAGGCTACTAGGAGCAAAGGTAGGGATCCAGTCGTACCGAACCTCAGGTTCGGTACGACTGGACCCAAACCTACATAACAGTGCCGAACACATCACCGTACCTGAGAAGGTGTACTTGGATCCCTAGGGACTGTGGCGATTTGCAATTTTTGCCCACATGGTGGTGGTTGAGGCCACAGTGGTGTTTGGGGAAGGTATCCACCCAGTGTCAGACAGCTCGTGTTTGGGTAAGGTAAAACCCATGGTCAAACCACATGGTTTTTCTTCGAGAACTCCGGGTCCGCGTCCTCGCCTGCCTTGGGCTCCACACACAGCGCTGGTTCTATGCTTGGGCATGGCTAGGACTAGGATGGACACCGAGCTGGCAGCGATGCCAACCGGCAGAAACGGCAGCGATGTCAGACACGTCGAGTTCGACCGCACGTTAGGGGCGAGATCGACGAGAGCTTCTGGAGGTAGGAGCTGCATGGAAGGCCTGTTCCTATTCTTTCCCCTGCTGCTTCTTTGTTTGTGGTTTGTGGTTTGCCATAAGTAGGTTCGTTCGGGTGCGGAGCTTGGTACCCATGGCGCAGCAACTGGCTTTCCTGAGCGCTGCCAGCAGGCAGATCCGTGCAGCGAACCCGTCGGTTGGTTCAGCGGTGCGCAGAACAAGTGGGTCTATGTGTGTTGGGACATGTGGGGACCCATTGGGTCTACACTCCCGAAAACTAACATAGACCCTGACAATGGCCTGGAAGTGGAAGACTGACATGGGTCTATTTCCCACACCTAGACCCTGGGGGAAGTGGAGGTGGAACCCTCACCATAAACACATCCGTTCGCTTCGCTTCGTCGCTGGGACATGGGGTGATGAGGTGACCGGGACGGAGGCGACGATGGACCTTTGAGGTGACATATACCGAAGTCCAGTTCGACTATATTTTGACCGGCTGAAGTAAAGGAAATTCCTTGACTCGGGTCACCTAGTCAGACCATTCTTTTTATGGTCTTGGACTCCCAGGGTATATATATCCTGTAGGGATCCACGGGCACCCTCTGAGGTACGGTGATGTGTTACACTGTGATGAGACGGTGCCAGTGTCGGGTCCAGTCGTATCGAGGTTCGGTACGACTGGATCCGGAAGTTAGAGACCCAAACCGGCTGGGTGTCGACTATTCCATGTAAGAGGTATACGGTATGCATCAAGAACTGGATGATGGAAGTGTTGAAGGTGGTTTCTTGATCCAGGAGTGAGGTGCCCAATGGACACGGATGATTTCTTGGACTAGTTTCTTCGTGTGACAACCTTAATATATGCATCCACATACAATCCATATTACAACATGCTACCTTTTCAAAAGAGCAAACAAACAACTCTGCAACACCGTTGCTCTACTACTACCAGCAGTCAGGCCCCTAAGCTCCCAATCGTGGAGCCAATATGAGCCAATGAGGTCGGCCAACCCGAATCCGCTCAGCAGCTTCATTCAAATCCATGCAGATGCATCGGGCCAGCGAGGGGAATGGCCTATACAAGCGAGGCTCTTGGTCTTTTCATACCAAATTCCCCTTTTTTTGGCCCAACAGGGCTGTTTTGAAACGCACCTGGAAGCACCAGTTCACAGAACCGGACGAAGTCCAGACCAACCCACCGGTCAAGGACGGGCTCCTATCCCATCTCCGGTTCGGCGACCCCAAAACCACCCACCCCACTCGCACGGGCCGAACCGAGCCCGGTGGGCGAACCGTTCGGTGCGGCCGTTTCAGGCCGGCGCCGGTGTCCGGCGGCGTGAGTCCAGGCGAAGTCTGCGCGGGTCAACTCAGTGGGTCACATGGAAAGAGACCCCAAACAGTGTATCATAGTGTATCCAGAGGGTCTATAAGGTCTAGCGGTGGTGATGGTCCAGTGATGGTGTGGTGGTGGCGGTGGTGACGGTAGTGGCGTTGGTGCTGGTGCTGGTGCTGGTGGTGATGGTACTAATGGTGGTGATGGTGGTGGTGATAGTGGTGGTGATCGAGGTTCACAAACCATGTGCAGGCCAGTGCAGGCTTAGAATTGTAGGTCTAAGTCCAGAGCTGTATAGAGGTCTAGAGTCTAGAGGTGGGGGCGAATAAACAAAGGCCACAAGTCAGAAGTGGATTCTGGAAACCGATCAGTTCAACGAATAAGGAGGTCGCATTTCATTGCCACTACCCTTGGTGTAGGACTGTCTCATTGGTGGAAAGTCACCGGTTCTGGGATCCATCTCTATCATATCATGTGTCCTGCTTGATTGACAACCCAAGTCAAACATTGCTATTGAGTAAAACAAGAATACTTGCCAACAGCTACACAAAATTCACCCACCACAGGGCCAACGCGGTCTGCCACAGGGCCTTGCCATCTGAACAGAATGCAAGGCACTTGTTGCCCAAGGCATTGCTGGTCACGTTTCGATCCCCTCCTCGCGTGGCTTTGGGGATCCAGCACCCTGACCAGGCCTCCGGCCCGACCGAGCGGCCGACGCGCGCCTGGCGGAAGGCGCGCGCCGTTCCGCGGAACTCGCCACGTGCGGGCTGGGCGTTCCGACGAGCCGTTGAAGCGCAGGCATCCTCAATCTAGGGGAGTCCATAATCCCTATGTTGTTGGACTGGTTCACTTGATGTTTGGGACGTTGCCGGTTGTTAAGTGTTATTGGCCATCGGCATTGTTATCCTTGTTGTTTGAACAGCGAACAGCGCTGCCAGGGCCTCGAATGTGACGTCGGTCGAACGCACATTCGACCGTGTGGTCCGACCGTGCTGGTCAGACCGACCAAGAGAAACCACGGTCAGTCTAGTGGTGTTTTTTCCCCACCTGCCGGCTGAGGGTTGTTAGATTTTATGTCAGTCCTTCTCCTCTCCTCCTTCTCCTCCTCCTTTGTGGTTGTGGTGCTTCGTTTTTGGACCTCTTTGGGATCCCGGTGTGGGATCTGTTTGGGCGTACCGAACCGGTTCGGCACCTATAGGACGTCCGGACCCGAGGTTCGGCTGGCAGCTACGGACCCGCCGACCCGTGGAACACATCGTAGCTCAGAGGGTGGCAGTGGATCCTGACGGGGGAGTAGTTGGACGTCCGTAAGTTAAAGCAGATCTAAAAGCCTACACCTCCAGTCGTACCTCTGAAACGAAGGTATGATTGGACTTTTCTGGCACCCACCCCAGTCCCACCTTCTCAGAAGGTACGACTGGAGGCCTAGGGAAAGGCCATGGGAATATCGGGGACATGGAACATTCTTGACGAAGTTGCTGCAGCCAGTGCTGATCGTTTCCTGTGATGATATTAATGGGAATAATATGGTGACGTCACTGGAAAAAAGAACGATGAGACGGTGACCTTGCCGTTCTGCGCTCGCACGTCCAGCTGTGCAGGGTCATCCTTCCATGGACTCAAGTGGGCCGTCATGAGCTCTGCCGTTGCGCTTTGCGCCAGTTGGAAGCCTCGGCAGTTGATGTGGAAGCTGGGGTCGAACAGCAACCACAACAACCGCAACCACAAGAACATCGACAACAATAACAATCTCGCAACAACCCCAAATGGTGTGAATCTCCCTTCTTGCTCCCTCAAAAAAAACATGACAATTGATAGGCTCGCGGCTCGCGCACAGCACGCACTGTCATGTCAAGGTTCCAAACGAGTCGACGAGGTGGTCCGGTCGAGTTCGATTCCACACACGTCAAACCGCGATGGACCCAAGATCGATGACTGAGAAGAAGCCTCACAGGGTCAGACGGTCTGACTGACTGGACTTTCTTTGAGAGGTACTTCCAACAGGTGGTTTTGGACATCCCTTAAGTTCTAAGAGGCTATTTATAGACACCTGTCACCTGACCTCTTAGTGCCGGTCCTGGTAAACCTGTAGACCTGTCCCAGTAAACCTGTAGAGCCGTCGATCGCCAAGAGCCTCAGAGCATCACGTCGTTTTAGAGATGGATGGAAAGGCCTGCAACTGAAGCATCATCCATTGGGCCCCTGGTATTTGAGGGATATACCGAAAGTTATAGAGGATCTTGGACTTTGGCTCTCAAGGAGTCGCTTTTTTCAGCTTGGTCAGACTGGTCAGAAGATCTATAAACAGAGACGTGATCCATCGTCTCAGTTGGCTCTGTTACTTGAAGAGCTGGTCTGACGATCTGACGGCCTTACCGACCCCTGGCGACTGGTCCAGTTCCTGCGTCGGTCTGGTCGGCCAACCTCTCCGTTGAGCGCTCGGGGGGATGGACGCGGATGGAAGCCGAGGCAAGAAGATGCCAAAAAGCACACTGAAGCCGGCGGGGGCCCTACCGGCAAGGGCAGGTCGGCGCGGCAACCGTCGACTGATGGCATAGAGATGAGACGACGGACCCAGATGGTAGCCTTGGTCTTATAGGAGTATGTTGCTCAATTCAGCTAGTTGTAAGGTTGTAGTATGTTTGTTTGAGAATTGTTGCAACCTGTGACAGAACAGCGGAATGGCGTGAAAATGGCAGCTTTGTTGATCGAGCTACCAGATGTTTTCTATTGCTGTGTTAAATGTTCAGCCAGTCGCAAACTTGACACATATATTCATCGTCTTATATATACATATTAGCCGATGCGCCTCGGCGCCTCTGGGCATGCCGAGTTGCTTTGCATTGGCCAGACCGGACAGCAACCCCCTTTCCTGTTCCCTCCATATGGTTCTGGGTCAAACCGGGAGCCCCTGGTACGGTTTTTTCAACCAAATATGAAGGGAATGGACTACCAGAACAGTCAACCGGTTTAGATTTCTCCTGTTGACTACCTTGCAGCCATATAGTTCATGACTACCTGGCCGTGGTATATCAACCTGCTACTTTTGGGAACAGGCCTAGATACCCATGAGGAAAAGAAGCTAAGGGTTACATCATATCTTACGACCCGTGCTTTTGCTTTTGCGTCGTGGATTAACGTGTATAATGTATGTGTTTTTGTTTCCTATACTTCTTATTACCAGCATCCATGTGAGACATGGATGGAGTCTGTTACTCCACCACTGATATTGCTTCCTAGTTCTTACATCTTAGTTCCCTCAGACTTAGCTAGCTCGGCTTAGCTAGGCTTAGCTAGCTCGCCGTCGACGCGGCGAGTTCACTCGGCCGCGCGAGTTCAGTGCTCGGCATGTGCTCGTGACACGTAAAGAAAGGCACATCGATTGTCTCAAAAGCTTCGTGAAAAGCATTGGTTTTTAACATGTGTTTTAATCGAGGTTGTTTATATAGCATTGTTCAAAGTAACAATCGAGGTTTTGAGCATTTGTTTATGTTTGTTTGGTATTTTTTTTTTGTGTGTGTGTGTGTTTGTTTGTTTGTTTGTTTTTACAATGCCCTCTCCAAAAGAGGGTTGTAATGGGTTGTAAACCATATCAAACCTGTTTTTGTTAACAAAGAAAGCTTTATGAATTTAGATAAATTTAGCATGTTTTGCACCAAGCTTGGTTCCAATGCTATCCTGTGCTTTTTCAGAGTCCTTTCCATTGAAACAGTGGGCAACGACTGCTTGCACAGTGCGATCATGCGCTTCAAAGACTGAAGCGACAGAGACTTGTGGACACTTACAGAAGAAACAACACAATTCAACTGACATGTTCCTCAGCATTCCTCATAGCCTTCCGCAGATGATGCCACCCCATCTATCTCACCTGTTCAAACAAAGGCGCCCCCTTCTCTCACCCCTTCTCTCCACCCTCTCCTCCGCCCTCGAACTAAGGGCGGTAAGTTCAACTTGGCGGATGAACGAAAGGCCAAGGCCGGGGCACGGCCACGACTCGAAAGCTTTTTGTGACCTCGTCACGGTGGTCCCACCGTGGTCCCACGGGGAACCTACCGGGGATTGGGATGAACTCGGCAGCCGAACTCGTTCGTTCGCCGTCGCGATGGTCGCTCGAAGGTGAAGAGGAAGAAGCGCGAAGTCTACGAAATGCAGTACGATGTGCGGAGCACCCAGAAACCGCCCGAAAGCCGCTCGCACCGCTCACCGCTCGCTGGTTCCGAGACCCGGACCCGGGTGTCGAAGCGAAGCGAATGTCCGAAGCGAAGCGACATGAGAAAGGGACATGAGCGGTGTGTGGAACCCAAGGACGTGCAAAAAGACCAATACACTTAGGAGCCCCAAATAGGAGCACCCACAGGATCCTATAGGAGCCCTTTAGGAATATTTAATAATAACAGCCTCATAGGAGCACCCTTTCTGTTTCGAAGGCCTGGGGTTCACTTGGTCGCTCCAAAAGGCACAGCTCGAAGCAGGTTGGAGCACGAATGCATGTTGGGGACTCCAAAGTCACCCAACTGAGGTTCTTCACCGGCCAAAAACCCAGGCTTTTGCGTCTTCAGACCGTCGGACCCCGCTGGCGCCGGAACCGCCGCGTCGGTTCCGTTCGGCCACCAGGCGGGGGCCATGGCACCCATGGGCGCCTGGGATCCCCTGAACTTCGTCAACAAGGCGCCGGACCGCGGAGAAAGCGAGCGGAGAGGAGAGGCGAAAGCGAGATGGGTGGCTGGAGGGAGATGGGCAGGGGTATGAGAGAGACTATATGACTATATTGTTAAAGAGTGTGTTTGGGCGACCTGAGTTGAGGCATGTCCTTCACTTAGGTGGTGGCAAAAATAGTCTTTGGACGGATGTTGGAGATATAAATACAGGGGTTCGTTTAATCAGTCACACGCCCCAAATCGACCCAGAGATTCTGAGAAAAGTGCAGAAGGTGATATGTGATTGTATTGGACATGAAATGCTGGCTTGGGCGCTTCAAGTGGTATCGTTTACATGGATTTACTGTTGGTTTGTTCTCTTCCAAGTTAGGTGTGTAGTGGTTATAGTGGTTAGGAATGTTTGGTAAAATCTTGGCACGCATGTCACATCCCTTTTTCTTTGTCGGAGTAGATACCGGACGGATGGACTAAGTGACTGGGACTTGATAAAATCCCAACATATCAAGTAGACATTTCAACTATTATCATCAATCCTTGTGTTTGCCACGCTCTTGGTTTGACAAAGGCAAGTTGTGAATCTTGTATCCGTTTATATAGCATGTGACACAACTTTTGAACATGGCACGTGCGTTCTTCGTGGCAGCTTTTCACAGAGAAACATATATGGACATGGACAAGTTTCAGGTTGTCAAAGAGCTTGCTGAGCGATGTCATAGTAGACACTTAGGATTCCACAAAGGATAGCGCATTATTAGAATTGCAAACAAGTGATGCTTGCGAGTAGTTAGTCGACGACCGCTCATGAGATTCCATGGTCTTTCATTGTTCATGCATGTCTCATGCTTTTCTACCCTTACGAGACTTCTGAGGGCGTTGTATGCAATCCTTATCCCGTCAGTGAGCAAAAAGTCACAAGCCTGCTGGAAACATTTAAAGTACCAGCTACGAACCATTCAATTTATATCCATCCAAACGAAATGATTCGAAGACTCTTCGAAAGCCCTGCTCTCGCCAGGAAAAGACGCGTGCTAAAGAGAACTTCTTCAGGTTTCGGCAGGCAGAGTGTGGAACACGCCGGACACGCGGAGGATTCCGCGTGTGGACGGGGTGGAATTCACAGCGCAGACGCTGCATGGGACTGGTATAGATGCCTCCAATATGCATGGTTTCGTGGACAACCCCCTTGTAGATGAAAAGAGTCTGTCCAGGGACCATGCCATCCACTTCTATGATTGTTTCAGAGACTTAATATGCCTACATTGATCCCTGAAACGACCCCAATTGTATATATTCCATATACCCGGAGTACCCGGACCCTCCAAGAGGTGTCTATAAGATATATCTTAGAGGTGGTTCGTCCGAAGGTCCTGGTAGAGCATTGTTTGGGTCACGGCCACGGCCCACCAACCTGAATGGTCCTTCAAACCTTCAAGGCCAGCGGGTGGGGTGCGCGCCTGGAGGGCGGCTTGAAGCGGCAACATGACCAAAGGAACACATCGGATCTGTGTACCTTGGGTCTGTCCTATTGCCCGTACTAAAGCGTTGGGTTGCATAAGAACATCACGATTGAAGTACTGTAACTGAACCGGCATCATCCACTGTTACTGGCAATGGGAGATACCATGAGATACCCAATGTATACCCTAGAAGTCCAATAAAGACGATTTTGGTAGGATGAAGTATTGGAGATTCCTCAACTCGGGTCACTCAAGTCAAGTCGAAGTAGTCGACTGGACTGCGAGGGTGTATGGATTCCAACACGCGATCCTCTTTGAAGTTCGTCGGACTGCGTCGCGAAGGACTGAGTGGATAGTGACCAGTCGCGGACTCGTCGCAGGAAAAGACCGTCAGACAGCGATTCTCACATGACAGGTGACAGGTCAGACCCCAGTCCAGTTTCCTCCTGAAGAACCTGAAATCTCGTGTCTGTTTATTTGATCAACTCCAGCAAGTGCGGAGTTTCGCCGGGGAAGTCCAGGGTTTCGCGACATGTGTCGGAGTTTTGTTGAGGGCCATTCGGTTAACTCTCGTACTTGTCCGGTTTATCATAGTGTGATTGAGTTTAGTGTGAACCTTGTCCGGTTAACTCAGGATTTGTAGATTTCCACTTGGTTCATCACTTGCCTGTTTGTATTGTAGGACCCCGAAAGGAATGGCCCTTTATGCCGCACTATCTCCTCATCGAGCACGTACAGAGCATGTATTTGGGGAACGGTATTTCTCAACTAGCTAAGATGTGTAATAGTGGGGTATGGCGGTATGGCGCCTAATGAATTCTCAGATACAGCCCCAAGTGTTCAAAAGACTGAGGCACAAGTGTTCGAACAGAACAGCAGGTCAGTCTTTGCTCAGCAGATCAAAGGAATTACAGTGGACTTCACACTGCTTGATTCCATCAATGATTTTGCTGCATTTTGCGGACTGAGTCCCACCCACGCCCAGTGGGCATATAATGGGTATATAAGCGATATAAGTGGGTATATATATAATATATTATCCAAATTTTGTACATACCTCCTGGCAGACCCCGGGACCCTTCGTTGAAGCAACCCAACCGGCCACACACCGGTTCCCGCTGGTTTTTCGTGGACAGCGGAATCGGAATCCACCACTTCATCATGTGAAAACGCGGCATGTGCACTGCGCAGGCCGAAATTAAGCACGGCCGGGTGGCGATGCTAGCGGTGGCCAGCGGCCCCAGCTCAAACCGCTCGCCGTCGTGGGACGGAGGTCCGGTGACGGCGTTTGACCCGGTTTGTTTGGAAGATGGAATCACATCAACCAAAGCAAGGTGGCTATAGGTAGATTGTGGGCAAACGTTCATAGATTGGAGTGCTCCGCAAGTGGATAGGATCAGTCAATCTTCCAAATGAATAGATATGATAGAATTCATTGTATTATATTGTCTGAAATATATTAGACATACATTTCACATAAATAAGTTATAGTTATATATATATAAGCTCATTCATTCATTCATTCTTCTAGATTCCTTCTTGCAGGGGCAAGTCGTTTTGCCTTTGATGCTTTCCAACGACCATAGCTCCGAGAATGGTCGAAGCTGGGTGCGAGGCCTATAGGGAATCGATGTGACTTTGTTTTGGGGAAGTATGTTGATGTATGTTGCTTCTCACATGAGACGTGAGCAAGATTGAGCAAGCGTCATCAGGCCTGCCGGTGGTGATATGTAATGATAACCAAAAAGGCAAAGTTGTACTCTTTTCTCATGTGGAATATGGATTTCAATCGTCAATACCAGCGCACAACCTGCTCTTTTCGGCTCGGGGGAACACCACCCTTCCTTTTTCGGGTTCCTTCGCTTCAGTCCTTCGTCGGTCTTTCGGTTGACTGGGATTGACCGGTTCCCATTTCTTCTCCTCTCCGTGCCCGCTGCCCGCCTTGGAAATCCTATTCGGGTTCTTTGACAGAATCTGTTGAACATATCTCTTATATAACAATCATATTACTTGAGTATTATTGCTTGTAGTCTATCCTATGGTCCTATATAGTATCTCGGTCTGTGTTGAAAGACCAGCACTATGTGACTCTGTTTGGTAGTAGCATTCATTGCCTAGTCTCAGCCACAATAAGTGTACAGTTCCACGTCCCCCGAGCGTTCCGACTTCCTGTGTCCAGCTGGCGTGGTCGAGCTCAGACTGCAGAGGTGGGGGAGCTCGTCCAGCACTTTCTTTATTTGCCCTTCTTCGAGACCACGGGCAAAGGCGAGGCCTGCTCGAACACCCCCGAGCTGGGCGATGGACAGTGGATTGGCCCAGCGATGGCGGACGGGACGGCGCTGATGGTGTGTGTGGAGAGGATTAAAGGGTGTGTGCGAAGGAAACATCTAATTTGAGCCGCAGAAGTTGTGGCACCCTTTCTGTAAGACCCATGGAAAAGGAGGACTGGCAACCCGTGTTTGAAGACCAGAAACCACAGATCCCATTGGCCCAGGCCACATGTTTGTGAAACTGTCTAAAAGTTTTCCCTGCCTTGCCAATGTACATCAGGGTCACGCCGAATTTGTTAACCAGCTCTTTCCTATGCGAGTTGGGATAGAGCCGAAGCCGGAATGATGGGGTGGCCATCTCGATCTTTGGTTTTTTTTGGTTCTTTCATAACTTACCATCATCCTCAAGGGTGGAAAAGGATCCATTTCCCCAACACGACCTGTCTGAGAGCTGGCGATTTTGTTAGGACAACGGAGTTAGTGGAAATACCTTCAAACCTGAAGTCCCAAGTTGGAATGCCATATAACATGCCACAATATAATATGTCACTTCAGATGCTATCAAGCCTAAGTCAAGCCAATCCCCCCGTATCTTCCAGTCCCATGGAGTCTGTGGCTGTTTAAAATTTGGGGGTGTTTTTCTCAGCTCCTCCGCCATGTTTCCAACCGGCCAGGCTTGGGTGTGCGGTGTCCCAGAGAGAAGATCCGGAAAGATCCGGACGGAGCAATTGCATCTGGGGACTGAAACATCAAAGGATCTAGGATCCCTATGGATCCACCTGCCACCGAACTGATATGGTTCGCGCCTACATCAATAGTCTCCCCGCTCACAAAATAGGAGTTTTGTATTTCTTCCGATGGCACCGCACGTGGCACCCATGGTGGATTGTTTGTGATGGATCTTTAGGGATCTTCTGCATGAGGACGTCTTCTGGGGGATTTGATGGGTGGGACCTATTCTGCTGTGGTTCCTCTTTGGTGGGATGTATTCTGCTGTGCGGCCAGCGCTTTGCTCGCTTATTGCTTTGCTGTTCTTGGAGCAGATGGGTCCAGCTTCGTTGCCCAGGACACGTACATGACCTTTAACGCCCTTCCATACCTTTCCCTACGAAGCAATAGATCATTCGACGAATTAAGAAATTGATGGTTGAGCCTGAGCTGGTTTTGTAGATTAGCAGTTGAATGTAGTAGCAAAAAATGGTGCCTTGGGATTCAGGCTAGAATTATCACTGCTGTGCTCTTTCAATCCCTTCACAAAGACATGTGAGGAAGTTCACCGAAGGAAAACGGTGAAAGTTCGTTCACCGAACTCTCTCCAGGGATTGAAGGAAACGGCCTCGGGAGATGCTCTTCGAACAGCGAACGGACGAGTTGATGAAACCGCGAGGTTCGGTCTTCGAAGGTCGAGGTCAGCCACTCCCGGAGGCCGAAGACCATATCAGTGTACTGTTATAACACCTTATAGTTATAGTTATGTATGTAATCCTCAAATGATACGTTCAATCCCAATCAAGCCATTTGCCACTTGAGATGCCGGGTCCGGTCCCTCCGGTTCCCCCTGTCCCCGTGGCCGGTCCGGACGGCCCGGTGAGGCCTTGAGCAACTCGGCTGGTCAGCTCGGCTTCTCGTTGATCGTCGTCGCCAGCGGGTATTTGGAGCTGGTGGTCTTTACAGAGGAGACCGAGATCGAGAGCTGGAGTGGTCGACCTGTGTGTGAAAGCTTAGGCGGACTCTTCGAATAGACTCGAGCCTTAGACTCAAGCCTTGGCCCTTTTTCGTTTCGATGGCACTGGTGGGCCCCCTACTATGTTACTTGGAGGTTTATATGGACCCCCATTTGACCCATCTATCCAAGACATCTTGTGGGTGCCAGTGCCATCCAAATTACCGTAAGCAATTGGGGTTGCATAAGTGGCGGTACTAGACATCTTGTGGTAGGTTTCGATTTCTCAAAGTGGGACCCTGTAGACCCGGAACTAGAAGCGGAGGCCATCGTTATTAGGTTGGAGAGGCCATCGCTACTATAGTGTTATATATAATAATATTGTAATTAGAAGCTTCATTGGAACCGTTTCACTGGGAATCGTTGTTCTTTCTTCACTACGAAGAACGCCGGTCTCCGTGAAACCGGGTTCCGCCGGGAGGGAATACGCCGTCCGATGGCGCATTGTGATGTGGGTGCAGCCATTGGTGAGCAGAGCAGGAGAACACCATCCACCGACCCAGGAAGTGCGTGGCTGACCTGCCAAAGCTGTTTGGCGGAAATTGGGGAGACCCCCTAGGTTTATTTGTATATAATTGTTTTATTTCCATTGAGACTGAGAGGGTCAGATTCATGTTCTGAGACTTGGAGTATCTTGGAATCTCTCAAACTCTGAATCACCAAAGGCTTTCAAAGGCTATGAGACGTTTCATGCCCAAACCTCTGGCGTATATTTAGGGATACAAATTGATACTCGAGGTGGAGGCTTCTCAAATGTTCACAATGTCCAGCCACTCTCCAGGATTATACTCCGGACACGTTCGACAAAGTGGACCACCTCAGCGCCTGCCGCACCAGTTTTCCGAAAAAAATAATAAAAAAACGAAAAACCTCCCACTCAACTGCTCCGGGCTTTCGGTTCGAGAAAACCGAACTGCGACGCGCGGCACGCGTGAAACCGGCAGGAAATGGGCAAGAAACGTCCTGGCGCCTATGGAGACCCGTTGGGCGTCGCGAAGCTCTTGGACCTTGAGGAGCCGGAGAGCCTGTGGCTTGTGAGTGTTCGGATGAGAAGGTAAGTGAAGGCCCCCTCCTAGTGCCTCTCCCGATGATTTTGGGGTGGGGGGCTGGTGAGTTTGCCTTTCTTCACTTTCGACCAGCAATATCTCCGGTGCTGCAGCCTGAGAAACATGTTTGGGTGCACACCATCCATCATTATAAGGCAGCTGTATGATGCCAATCGAACTGAACTACTATTACTACTACTACTACTACTACTACTACTACTACTACTACTACTCCTACTCCTACTCCTACTCCTACTCCTACTCCTACTCCTACTCCTACTAATCCTACTACTAAGACTTCCAGATGCAGCAACTTCTACAACCCGAGGGAGCCCAGCAGACCAAAACCGTTCGGATTGGGTGCGTTACGGTGCAGGTGCAACGAGGAGATATGTGGAAATTGCTTGGTTTTTATGGTTACGGCTTGGAAGATACCATGGCCTGTATTGGTTTCAATGGGTTTCCATAGTCAACCTTGGGATGCCCGGATGGGCCCAAGTACTCAACCGCTCGCTGTTGCAGAATGTCTACAGGAGGTGCAGCATGAGTTATGTCAGTGAAACGATCGACCGGCCTTACTAGGTCAAAGGCTAACTTCCTAGTGTAACTAGATGTAACACACTTGGGTGATGTGTATACTAGAATAGGAGACCTCCTAAAGTCCTAAAGACCCCTCTGGAACTCTGGAAGAAGGGGAGGGTCCCTCCTATTGGAATACACACCCACTTGAACAAATTACTTCCCAGATCGCGGGTTCAAACGGCTCAGACATGTTCAGAGGAAGGGGATCCAATTCACCTGTTCGTTGACTTGTTGATTTGGTTTCAACATGTTTGACCGCCTCCCAGACCAAAGTGAATGGTGGTCCTGAAGAAACCACTCTTCCAGGATGGCGCGGACAATCTGGACATGCAGAACAAGGTGCTTTCTCCCTAGAGTCAGTGTCGTTTGTTTGGGGGACAGGAGTGGTGACCAGACACCAGGTTCTCAAAGATGTTTTGTTTGATGTGTTACGTTCTATATTCCTCACAAGTGATATTCCAGAGGCAGTATCTTTTTCTCACTCTACATTTGATACACCTGTATCAGTTGGCCAATGATGTCGAACCATTCCAGGTGCCCAGAAGCCTAGGCAACCAATCTACCTGTTCTTGTTGCGTTGGCACAAAACTTATTTCATATCCATTGGGACAGGCATGCCTTGGGTGGCAAAGAAGCAAGTTGGACCGGGCTGCCGGGATGCTTGGATTGATGAAAACTGACGTAAGTGGGATGCCACCTACTCAAAGTGGTGGCATCCATGTCACTGGGCTCTACACGTTTTGTGCGAGCATAAGTTATGAGTTGCAGACAGGACTTAGCTGCAGAACAGGAAGATGATCAAGAGACAACTGCTTTCAGATGGTAAGAAAGGCGAGAGCCAAGGCTGAAGCTTCCGTTCTGGAAGGTCCAGCACCGCCTTGGAGCTTTGCAGCCGTGGGGGGTCAGCTCATAGAGCTCGCTGCAGGGCTGCTTGCGCCAGTGGACTTCCACGGCCCATGGACCGTGCTGGGTCCGTGCCACTGGCGCTGGCGTCCGCCGGACCTGCCCTGGAGGGGCACTCCATGGGTTTGGAAGACACGTGGCCTATAGATGATGTCCCAGGGTGGCCCAATGATGCCAGACATGGAGTGTGACATGGGGTGGGAGATGGTGGGAGGAAGAGGACGCGACCTGTCCACGTGCGACCTGTCTGCCGTGGTTTGAGATCAGTGAACTTGTCCACTCCGCATCAAATCAGTTGAACACCCAACAAGCAACGCACACCCAGACACCCCGCATGACCGCCAGGTCCCCGTCACATGACCCCCTTCGCTCCTCGATGCCTGAGACATGCGACCGCACCGAGTCGTCCTCCGCGATCTTCCAAGTACCTTCAACGACTACGACGCTCCATGTGTGCCGAGAAAAGGCCAGGGGTGGTGCGTTTGGTCTGTCTGGGGCGGCAGTCCTATGGCAGTCCCATGGAGTGTATGGGAGTGACGACTCCGACGCATCAAGTCTCTTCAATTCGTGAAGGACTCACTCCAGGGGCAACATCACCTCGTGCTGCTCCTAACGGGTCCTCGTGAAACTCCGCGAAGCGGATCTGAAGGAACCCCACGGCGTTCTTAAGTGGCTCAGCCATCGTCACTGGTCCGAAGCTCGGTCCAAAGCTCAGCGACGAATGGCCCAGCGCCAGCGCTCAGCCGTCGCTCCGTCGTCGGCGCTTCGAAGGATGGTTTGCACCTCCCAGCTGGCGCTCCAGCTGACGTCCAGCTCTCACAGATCTGAACCTGTTGGTGTTTCGATGCCACGAACCGAACCGCAAGACTGGGTCGGTCATCGTCTTCACCGCGAACACCGTGCAACATCTGTGTGCAACCTTCCAAAGCGAACATGTAAGGTTGCCTGCATGACCTGGCATGTGAATCAAGGATGAACATGGATGAACTATAGGCGCATGGGGTGCTTGTACAACCCCCCAAAAATATCTCTAGAGTGAGTCACTCGCCTGAAGCAGGTTGAGATGAGTCACAACCATATAAATTCCATCCAGAGATTTCTCAGACGCTCCATAAGACTGGAATATGCAGACTGGAATGTGCCATGACCTGTAACGACCAAAAAATAGATTATCACTCTTTTAAAGAAAGGCCCTTTAGTAACCATCATCGTCCACTGTTAGTGGTAATAGGATGTAATAGGACAGACCCAACATATCAAGTACCTTCGTGATGAACAAGAATTCTATAGGAGCGTGGAATGCGGGCTTGCTCGGCTCGGTGAACGATAGGGGATTGATTTTAGAAAACGATACCCAAGACAACACGGTTCCAAGACATTGCAAAACGGTATATAGGGGACTCAAAAATTTGAGGATCCAACAGCTGCAAATAATAAATGTTGAACTTACCCCGTTTCAACCACCCCTGGCCTCATCCGGAGTGTGGGTTTGGCATCAGAAGACGCACATATCCGGCTGAACAGTGACAGATTTGTCAGGAGTTGAACAACGGCCGCCTCGCCATGATCGGCATCATGCTCACGTTCATCCTCGTGCTGGCCTTGGGGTCTGGGGTGTGCTGCGGGTTGGTAATTAGCCATGAGTTGACTGACTTCTGAGGGAGTGACTGATTCTGGCGAGGAAGCAAAAAAGGACTTTGAATGGGAGTTTTATTAAGATGAGTATTAGTCACTTCAATTTTTCCATAGTAGGTATCAGCAGACTTCACGAGACATCGAGGCACCTGACAATTGTGTGAATAAGTTGAACACCTGGTAAGTCTTCATTCTTCAGTCTTCAGCCCTGTCTCAGCGAACCTATTGAGAATACATTGAACAACATCGCACATGATGGATGATCCACTTGAGTCACTTTGATGGTCCCTTTCAGGTGTGGACAAGGTCTGTCCAGTTGAGCATGTTCATTTAGTTTGTTCATTGTTGTGCCATGGTGGCATTGTGGTCTCATGCATCATTCACCAGGTTTCTTATCGCGTTTCTTTTTCGCTGAGGAGAAGGCCACGGGCTATGATGCAGTGGACCAATTGATCAACGGAATTGTCTTCACTGCGTAGAGCGTCGGGACGCTGACTGCCGCGCCGTGAGCGTCGGGAGCACTGCCGGTCGTTGATCATGGAGCAAGCTGGCATGGAAGTGATTGGTGCAGGAAGATGGTGGAATTTCTCGCCTGCGGATGAAGGTAGATGATGGATGATGGTGGTATGCCATTCTTTCTTTCATGCAAATTGTCTTCTAGCTTGGATGCAATCTTGATGAAAAATACATCGCATCGCTGTGCTTCTGCGTGAGCTCCCTCTCTTTTTAGCAGCCAGATGTCCGGCTGTGGGAAGACCGCATCAAAAACCAGGCGATGTTTCATGTGTGGAACCTGGGTTAGTTGTCATCGAGATAGAAGGAACATGGAAACGGTCCGGTTTTCACATGTTGTTTACAGTCTTTTAGGCAGTAGGATATACCCTTCGCATCTTGTTCTGGATTCCCCTGGCCCGCTTTTCTTAGACTGGAGTCTATTGTCCCTTTCCCAAACCTGGAGTTTGAGTGTCGTTCGTGCTCCCGCCACGTCGAAACACCCCACTGCTTCTCACGCTCCTTCCCATCCAGATTCTCTTCCTAGTAGCGATGCACCTGTTACTACTAGCGTGGCACTTGTTACTAGTAGCGTGGAACCTTGTTACTACGACGTGTTGCGACGGCTGAGAGACCCTGGTACGACCCGAGACCCAGAAGAAAGGGCGCTTCCTATGCGGGTGTGTGTTTTGCGGTAATAAAAACACATGTGTTTTAAACTGTACCTTTCATGGAACGATTACTTCAGTAACCCCCTGGTGGAAGGAGGTTTTTTGGCTTCCCAGCTTCCTCATGGCTTATCCCAGAAGAGCCGTTGTTGGTTTCAAATGTCTGGCCGAAGACCACCCGGACCTCACCATTGTTCCGCTCCATTTTTCGTGGTCGGTAGCTCTTCATACCACTGCTGCGCTGCTTCGCTGTTTCAACCCCAGACTCGTCCAGGGTGTGCACAATGAAAGGACTTTTGAAAAGAAGTGCTCAGGGTGAAGCACAAGCACAGGCACATGGCACTTCTTGATGGTTCTTTATTTTTGTTCCATTAAGAAAAGAAGACAAACTGTGTTCGATTAACATATGGAATTGCTCAATACCGATACCACCAATACCCCTGTTCGTAAGCAGATGATTCAAGTACGTTGGTCCAAATGCCCGTCAAAGGGACAGAAACTCGACCAGATACAGAGTTTTTCCTGTGAGGGTCCTTTTCTATACCCGACAAAGATATCATTTTACTGGAGCTGGTCATGCAAAAGCACCTCAAAACACTCGAGTTTTTCAGGAGGTGTGGACCTCAGGGTCGGCCTGGACGAGTAGGGATACATGTGACGAATGGATTTCTGCGAGGCTTTGGACAGGGATGGTCACTTTCCTGGTTTGGACGCTAGTCAATGTGTAGAGGTAGCCAGGTAGCGGGACGTTTCAATCTGTCTAGTAAGCAAAATGCAGATGTTCAAGGACGCAAATGGTCAAGCGTATTAGAAGAGCCTGACGAAGCGGTGAGCCAATTGAAGGGTACTGACTGAAAGACTTGAGATCTTGGAGGAAAATAGAGCTGTTCGAGAGCGCTCATACTCATCCGATTGATGGACAGTCTTTCTTATAGATATACGTCATATATATATATATATATTTTATGAATATCTCCAAACATAAACGACTTTGTAAATGGAGCAGCTACAGTAGATGACTCGAGGATATCTGTTTTAAAAGCTAGATGGAAATCACTAACTAAGGAGTTTTGTTGAAGAAGAGGCTGGGTGGAGGCGGCCAAAGCAGGACCATCAAGGACCAAGGGGATAAAACGGTGGGTTGGTCCAACAAACCCACAAATCGTCATCAAGATGTTCTCACCTTTGTGGCAGATACCCTTACCAACCTATTTTGTGGTGGGACTGCCTACCGATCTAGCAGGGTATAAGACCTGGGTATAAGACCTCTACTTAGGGCCCACTGTGTAAAAACGCACAGAACCTTGTTTTGATCATTATCATTCCTGTTAACATGTCATGTGTAGATCACACCACAAAAGCACAAGCTTTCATTTCCCGGTTGGTAGTTCTCAGTCTTCCAGAAACTTCACTTGGACTGAGTGCGGCCGTCCATGTGAACCCGCCGTCCATGGGTGCGGCCATTTTTCTAAAAAGTGATCCTCCTCTTTGTGCACCCTCTTGCCCATCTCTTCGCTTGCTGGTCTTGTCAAAGCTATTCTTTGATATATAGAGTCTATACCCCGGAGTCTTTGACCCGGCTCGATTTTAACAATCAAATTCAGTCCAGTGCGCCTGGCACGCTTCACGTGGGTTCAGTCCACATGCCTGGCACTCCATTTGCCCTGCGTTTTCCGTGCCCCGCGTGTGTGTGTCCCGCACCACGCCGTGAACGGACGTGGTCACTCCATTCATCGTTAGCCTCTTTTGTTCCCGTTCTGGTGGACATCATTCCCGCTGCTTCGCACTGCTCGACAGGAGGGCACCGTGGTGGCCTTTGATGCCATGGCTGGACGCTATCATGTCCGTCTCAATGATGGTGTGGTGAGGCAGAGAGAAGCCACCAAAAAAGAAGACATGAAGAACCAGATCACCTGAAAAAGACTGCTTTCTAGAAAGATGCGAGACTGACATTTGCTGCACCACTCCTGTTCAGGTGGGAAAAAACACCCATGTACTTTACCCTCCAATATCATCCAATCACCGGAACCTTCCTCGGAACGCCACGTTCATTCCGTCCAGGGCAATCCGTCCACCTCATGTGGTGGCCCGGAAGCCGCCGCCCAAGGCGCAGGAGCCGACGTGGCCGCGCCGATGGTTCCATTCATGGTTCGCCGGTGGGTTTGAGCCGAAAAGCTCCTCTTCAGTGTTGAAACAAGAAGAGGTGCCACCTTCGGATGAGTGTTGTGTTTCAAGGAAAAAGCACCAAGATGTTGGAAATGATTGTTTCAAGAAGATTTCCCATTCCACTGCCAATGTTGGGGTCTCACCCAAACAAAAAACGAGTTGTGTGTTTAACGGTCCACACCCTAGGATGGTTGTGCACGAGAGGGGAGTGCAGTCCACAAACTAACTTTTGTACAAGCTGGAGGAGCTGGTGATGTGCATTTATCTTAGGGCTTGGTGATGAGTTTTATTTCAGGTGGATTCCTAAACGTAGAGAGATAGATGCATGCTAGCAATAGTTAAGCCAGAAGAAACAAGAAGCACAACAGTGTTTCTTTTTAAATAGATGCATAGCATATTCAAAAAATGTTATTATCTATATAGCTCTATCTATAATGCCGCATTCTTTAGGGAACTATAATTGTTGGATGAGGCGAAATACCACGAGACTTGAGCAACGACAAACCCTTCGAAACAGAAAGCACGGAAGATTTGAGGCCAAACGATTCACGAAAAGCCGGCGCCAACGAACATCCGCGACAAGAATTCCAGCGCTCCCAAGAAACACAGCGGCGGTCTGACAGAATCAGATCTTGGTTGAAAGTTGAAAGGGGAACTTCTACTAGTAACAAGTGCCACGCTAGTAGTAACAAGTGCCTTACTAGTAGTAACAAAAAGCTATTAGAATTAAACTTAAACTTAAATTAAATGAAGTAGCTTCTTGTTACTACTAGTAAGGCACTTGTTACTAGAAGCGATGCACTTGTTACTACTAGCTTCTTGTTACTACTAGTAAGGCACCTGTTACTCTACCTAGTGTGTGTCCCATGACCTGTGAGAGTCGATAAAGTGTCTTCACTCTTTTTGAGCAAGGCCTTGACACCCACTGTGGGAATGGGCTACGCGGCTACACCCAGCATTTACCCTCCAAAACTACTGGGTTGGCATTCGGAACATGGTCGAAACTGGGTTTACCATGGGAACGTCACCCAACCAATAGATCTGGGTTTCCTGTAGATGTTCCCAATCAAACATCCACTCAACCAATTCTGAGAGGCAAGGTCTTCCCAACCAACCAGGGTCTTCTCAATCCAGCAGTCGCTTCCTCCCCTACCTTTGCACAGGAACCGAGGTGAAAAATACAGGGAATTCGTCCAGATCCTCCGCAGATGGGGCCAACTGGACGCTGCGAACGCCATGCCACGCAGCTGATTGATCGCTCGAGACAGCAACAGTTCGCTGGCAAGTCAAACGTCAACCTTGTGAGCCATGACAAGCATCGCATCTTCTGTGGTTTTTGCCGCACTGATTGGTGCAGCAACTTGGGCGTCTCATGATCCCTGAGTAAGTAAAGGTCCTGTGAGGCAAGGGAAAGGATTGTCCATGGAAAGGGCTATGATGACCAGACAAGGAATAGTGTTCTGCCATCGCCCTGCTGGATTGCTGCTTTCTGTTTTTTGTGTTGATTGTGTTGTTGTGTCTGGTGTCTGGAACTCAGACCTCAGCCATGCCAGTTTTCTAGATGTGCCTAGTGCCAGAGATCTACCGAGCCTAGTGTCAGCGATGCTTCAAAGATCTTCAACAAACTTGCTCTTTTTGCTCCAAAAACAGTCATCTGATCTTGCGGTCACTCCAGTTGCAACCAGTGCTTTCGACGTGTCCTTCACTCCTAGGCCGTGGCATACCCAGCGAGCTGGGCCTGCAACTTTGCTTGCATGGCTGCGAAGCAGCCTGACGGAGTCTTCGGAATGATGGGCGTCGCCAACTTCAGTCGGTGCCTCAGTCGTTCGAGCCTCGCGTCGCACAGGGAGTGATATTTATCATATTATTCATGTAAGTTATCAGATGTTTCCGGTTGGAACAGATGGGAACCAGGTGGTTTGTTGTATCTGCATGGACCAAATCCAAAAACATATCTCTCCCAAAGAAGGCGCTTCAATGAGACAATCATGAGACATGTGGCCCTCCTCAAACGGGCCAAACCAGTCGAAACCTATCTCTACCAGCCATGATCATGAGGAGCGAAACACCGTGATGTGCAAAGGAAA